ACACACACACACACACACACACACACACACACACACACACACACACACACACACACACACACACACACACACACACACAAATATGCCTCTTATTAATACACACACAAATAAATCCTCAAAGACACTGACACTGAAACAACACTATTACACTATTTTGTGTGGCAATTTCACCCTGCTTACTTAATAAATATCTCTGGAGCCCTAATGACAAAAAATGTTTTCACAAATAATCTTTCTTTGAGATGTAATAACTTTCTCCACCTCTGAAATGTCTGCTGCGTGGGTGAGAACAAACATTAACCAATAATAATATCGCAACCCATTTCTCACAATCCAATCTACATTAGATCCCACTGAATATTCTGTTTCACTTGGAAATATTTTTTAAGCAAAATTGTAAATGCTATTTGTTGACTTTGTAAGTTCAAAGTGCAGGTCTTGTTTAAGTTAATTCAGCTGATTGATGTGGCTGAGCGTTTATTGTCCTGTTCCCTTTTGCTGTCCTATAGCTGACTCTGATGCCAGAACAGACCGTTCTTCCTCTTGTGGACAAATCCAGTCGTCAGGAAATCACAGTGGGCGTGAGCTTTCAGCATCCTGACATCATCGCTAATGCTGATGTGGTTCAGCAGCATCTGAGTGAGCCATACTACTGGAGACTGCCAAAACAGTTTAAACGCTCAATGGTCAGTCTTCCACCAACATCCTTATTTACATTATATACACACACACACACACACACACACACACATATATATATATATATACAGTGCTGTGAAAAGGTTTTTGCCGCCTTCCTGTTTTTTGCATATTTTTTAAATACAAAATGCAGTTTTTAAATTATGATTTATTTTATTAAGGGAAAAAAGCTGTCCAAACCTGCCTGGCCCTATGTGAAAAAGTAATTGCCCCCTAAATCTAATAACTGGTTGTGCCACACTTTGCAGCAACAACTGCAATCAAAATGTTTGTGATAACTGGCAATGAGTCTTTCACATCGCTGTGGAGGAATTCCGGCCCACTCTTCTTTGCAGAATTGTTTTAATTCAGCCACATTGGAGGGTTTTCGAGCATGAATGGACTGTTTAAGCATCTCAATCGGATTTAAGTCCGGACTTTGATTTGGCCACTCCAAAACCTTAATTTAGTTTTTCTTGAGCCATTCAGAGGTGGACTTGCTGGTGTGTTTGGGATCTTTATTGTCAATTCTTCCACATGTACAGCACATACACACAGAGAATTGAAATTGCATTACTCTCAGACCATTGGTGCATACAGATAACATAAATACAGATAGGAACAGATTAAATACAAAATACAAAATACAACTATACAAATATACAAATAAGGTAAAATGTAAAAAAATATATATATATATAAAGCACAAGGCATATGGCAGATAGAGTGCAAACCAGTAAAAGTAAAACAGTGCAGATATA